CTATAAATTGGGAACTGTCTGCATTTAAATAGTGTTTTCATTTTGTGTTGTTTTAAACCTACTCTACTAGTCTCTGCCTTTTTTTCAAGCAGTTGAATCCATTTCATTTAAGTAATTACTTTTTTTGTTTATTTGTTTTGTTTTATTTTATAACTATTTGAAAATCAGCAGTTAGTTCTCATCCACATTGACTGCTTGTAGATTTTTTTTTTTTTTTTGAGAGGATTTTTTCTTATTGGGTGTGTGGGCTCGCCAGAAAGACAGAGAGATAGAAAGCGAGAAATCACCCCCCCTCCCCAGAGGAGATGGCCACACCGCAATCCCTTCTCCTCCATTCTCCTCTCAGGATCTTGGGCACGCACGCACATGCGCTGGTGTGAGTTTAAGCCACCGGGTCCAGGACTCAAACCGCGGTCGACTACATGGGAGTCCAATGACATAGCCATTACGCCAATTGCTGGTCCCACTGCTTGTAGATTTTTGAAAGTGGTAACAGGTACATAGGTCACCAGAGTGCAGAGCTTGTTGGGTGAATCTTCATCCTTGTTTTGTTTTCTGGACAACTGCACACAGATTCGACATGGGGCGTTCCTTATCCCTTTGGCCCAGACAGCTTTGTTGAGCCTGGTATCAATGTGCATATCTGGAGTCCCTGCCTCTTTCATGGCAAATTTCCGGATTTCTTTGAGTGCCTGAGGGGCACATTTCTTGAAGCCCACACCATGGATGCGCTTGTGAATGTTGATAGTGTATTCCCGGGTCAACACCTCATTGATGGCAGAACAGACCTTCTTCTGCCACCCTTCTTTGTGGGAGCCATTCTGCCATTAAAGTAATTACTGATAAGGAGGAACTGGAGCTGCCATTTCGCTATTTATTTTTCATTTCTCGTTTATTTTATGACTACCTTCTTTTGTGTCCAGTTGATTTTTTTTGTAGTTATTGTCTTCTTATGCATAGTTTTCACTATATTCTACAGATATTTCCTTCATGGATACTGTTAGGCCAGAGGCCTGGAGAGCTCGGATGTGGAGGTTAGATGCATGCCACAGTCTAGTGACACAACCCAGAGCTAGTCTGTCATGAGACCTGCACTACATTCAGATCTAACCTGGCTGTAACACATGTGCTCCACTCTGCACATGAGCTTTGTTCACACATGGCACTCTACACACAGGACTGTACTCTGCATATGTCACCAGACGTTATGTGGCACACTAGTCTGCTCTCCCCTTAAACCTCTACTATATATGGACTGTTGCTACCTCTAAGACACTCCCCCTATACCCTTATAAAAATCTCTAAACTCCGCCCCAATGCACAAATTCTCTGGCCTGTCTCCCTCAGTCTTTCTCCCTTTTATTTTATTTTTTATTTATGTTATTTTATTTTTTAGTTGTCTTTCTCCCTTTTTGTCGGACCAGCGAACCTCTCCCAGAAGTGCACCCAATAAAAGCTCTACATTTCCATTTTCTCGTGTGGTCGGCCCATTCCTTACAGTTATCATAGGAATTATGCAACATTCTAAAATTATAACTATCTATTCTGAATTGATATCACCTTAATTTCTTCCTTTTTTTTTTTAAAGAGATTTTTGCTATAGGGCATGGGCACTTGCCAGAGAGACAGAGAGACAGAAAGTGAGAAATCCCCCCCCACACACCACAGGGGCTGGCCACGCCACAATCCCTTCTCCTCCATTCTCCTCTCGGGATCTTGGGCATGCATGCACACACCCCTGGTGTGAGTTTTAAGCTGCCGGGTCCAGGACCTGAACTATGGTCAACCATGCAGGAATCTAGTGATGTAACCATTATGCCATCTGCTGATCCCAATACCACCTTAATTTCAGTTTCATACAAAAAACTACTTTGTCTCCCCTTCATGCTCTTGATGTCACAAATCACATCTCTGTGCATTGTATACCCAGTGACATACATTTAAAATGTATTGTTTTTATGCAGTTGTCTTTTAAGTCCTGCTGAAAATAAAAAGTAAGAGTTATAAACCAGTTTTACAATAATACTGGCTTTTATATTTGCCAGATCTCCAGTATTTTTCTTTATTGGAGAGGGTTTTTGTTTTTTTTTTTAAGTTTATGATAAGGCTCATGTGTTTGCCAGGGGCGATGGGGGGGAGGGGGAGAGAGAGAGAGAGAGAGAAAGAGGGAGAGGAAGAGAGAGGAAGAGAGAGAAAGAGAATGAGAAAGTGCTCCTTAGGTGACCACACTACAGTCCCTTTTCTTCCATTCTCCTCTTGGGATTTTGGCGTGATTGTTAAGCTGCTGGGTGGGGCCTTGAAGCACACAATAGGCTAGCATCTTAACTTCATTGTCACCTGTTTGCCCTTTACTAGAGAACTTTACATCTTTTTTTGCCTCTAAGTTCTATGTAGCATCCTCTTATTTAATCTTTTATCATTTGTTGTAGGATGAGTACTATACAATAAGGTCTGCTTGCTCAAGGGGACATAGAAAGGGAAACTGGGAAAAGGGCTGCAACTTGCTCAAAACCAAATTGGTCACTGCGCTGGAGAAGGGTGGAAAATGGCCAATAAAAATGCCACAAAACTTTCCTGTCTTTTCAAGATGGCTTTTTCTTGCTTGAGTGTTTGCTTGGTTGCTATAAACCCTTGACTTTTTCAGAGCTCCTACAAAATTGGTTGAGATAGCTTCTAGTTGTTTTCTCCATGCTTCTCTGGGAAAGGAGAGCTTGAAGCTTTCTGATCTGCTATTTTGCCAAAGTTCTTGTTTTTTCTGTTTTTTTTTTTTTGCTTTTGGTTTTTTGTTGTTGTTGTTCTGATCTGCTATTTTGCCAAAGTTCTTGTTTTTTTCTGTTTTTGTTTTTGTTTGTTTGTTTTTTTTTGCTTTTGTTTTTTTTTGTTGTTGTTGTTACAGGGCTTGTGCACTGGAGAGACAGAAAATTGGAAATCACCCCCTGGGGGCATGGCTGTGCCATGAGGCCCTCTGCTCCATTCTCCTCTCAGAATTTTGGAATTTTGTTTATAGTTTATTAAACTGGCAATGATTTAAAAAAATTATACAATACAGAGAGCATTTTGGGAAACACATTATCATTCAGTGTTGGTGATTGTGCTGGGAGGGCAATTTGTACATATATGTGTATGTATTTGGATGTGTAATGTATACTTGTATATCTATATATATGCGCACATACATATGTACAAATACATGTGTATATGTATGTATATGTATTCGTATTGTATATGTGTATATGTATGTGTATGTATGTCCACTATGCAGTGGAATGCTAAAAATCATGTTAAGGTCAAACCACAGTCAGTCATGTGAGAGTCCAGTCCCTAACAACCAGGCCACCTGCTGGCCAAAACAAAGTTTATTCTTTTCTTTGAGAGACTTTTGCTACAGGGCATGTGCACGTACCCAAAAGACAGAGAGAGAGACATAGAGACAGAAAGCGAGAAATCCCCCCCCCAGGGGGGATGGTCACGCCACCATCCCTTCTCCTCCATTGTCCTCTCGGGATTTTGGCCATGCATGCACATGCACCAAGCATGAGTTTAAGCTTCTAGGGTCGGGACTAGAATCATAGTCAGCCATATGGGAGTCTAGCACCTTAACCACTATGCCACCTGCTGGTCCTAAAGTTTATCCTTTTTCAAAAATAATTATTTATTAAATTAAATTAATTAATTGTCATTATTCAATTTGACCAGAGAGAGACACGGAGAGAAAAAGAGAGGGAGCGAAAAAACCCACCAGGTCCAGGACTTGAACCACGGTTGACCATATGGGAGTCCAGTGCCTTAACCACCACACCACCTGCTGGTCCCCAAAGTTTATTCTTAAAAGTGATCTGAACTCTCTCACTCTCACGGCAGCAATCACTGCCTTTAGTCAGGCCACTTAGGTTGGCCACTCCCCAGTTTTCCTAACCCTGGTCTACTTGGATTTGCATACTTTGGGTGTCACCAGTCCCATCAATTACCTCTGAACTTAGTTGCAAGCTTCCACTTCAATGAAGAGGACAAGGAGGCTCAGAAGTATTAAATCAATTCTCCCAGGAGGGGCAGAGACTATGTACTTTACAAATATTAACTCATTTAATCTTCACAGAGAGGAAAGGACTTATTACTACCACCATTTTTCAAATAGGAACTGTGGTCTTGGAAAGGTTCTGTCTTGCCTGAGCTCCCAGAGCAGGACTGCAGAGCCTAGATTCCAATCCAGGTACCTTGGTTTTGGATCAGAGGGTTTGAATCACTGTTTTACTCTTTCGTATTCTTGTTGGTAGTAAACATAATAAAATAATGATTAAATGATTACTTATATTTAGTATGGCATGACACACACAAAAACAAAAATGCTATCAACATTGGTTACATTGTCCAGAGGTTTTTTTGTTTGCTTGTGCTGTAGGGTGCATGTGCTGAGCAGAGAGGGAGAAAAGTGATGAAGAACCCTCCAGGTGGTACAGCCATGCTACAAACCCTTCTCTATTCTTCTCAGGATTTTTTCAAGGCCCCCGCCCCTGGGGGCTCAAGCCACAGAATCCGCCTTGTGGAATCCAGTGGCCTATGGCCACCATGCCACCCGCTGGCCTCTGCCCAAAGCTTTTTATTAAGTATTTTCTGGGACCTCATTTTGTAGAAGCAGGAACTGAGGCTCAAAAGTTTACAGGTCCAAGTACTTACAGCTCATAGGTGACGCTGTGAGATGCCACTGTAGTTATTCCAGAAACGTTACATTTTACTACTGCAATAAGAATAATAACAAAAATGCCCCGCATTCCCTAGGGCTTCACGATGTGCGATTCTTACAGCCTAATAAAAGTCAGCAACTCGTCCAATACAGTACTGCCATTAGGAAGTAGGAAAGTTACTGTTTGCCTAATAACGCCTTCCAACTCCAGCGTTTTAAAAGAGAACGGTGGGGCTTTTCTTGCGGAAGTTCCACTCAAACTGCGGTGAGGCGCGGACCTGGGTCCGGAGTTTTTAAGGGCGGCTGGCCCGCAGGCTCCCGACTGCGGTGGGTCGCGCCCTCCGGGCTGCCCCCGAGTCGCGGCCGCGCGGAGGAAGCAGAGGAGGCGGGAGCGCCGAGATCTCGCCGCGCTCATGGCGTCGCCTGGGTGAGTGCTGCGCTCGCGGTCCCGCCGCCACCGCAACCGCCGGGAGCGGCCCGAGCGGGCTCTGGCCTGCGCCCTGGGAGCCGCCCTGCCAGCTCCGCTGGCCTTGCCAGCCCCACCAGCCGACTCTCGCTTCCCACCAGGCCCGAGGCCCCACCAGCCACGCCGGGCCCCTGGCCCGGTGGCCCTCTTCCTCAGCCTGTACCTCTCCTTCTCCCGTCGACCTTGGGCGGATGTGACCAGGCCTGCGGCTGTAGGGTCCGCCGGGGACGCTGAGCGGGAACTGCGGCCCCCGGGGTGCAGGGTCCGGGGTTCGCGGGAGCGTGTGAGGCCTGGGGGTGGGCCCATGCCACCGCGGAGGCCTGGAGAGGCTGCAACTCCGTCCGGCGTCCTTGTGTCTGGCTTCCGGGCTCCCTGGGTTGAAGGCTAGGCTTAGTTTTCATCACCGTCAGGGCGCACCCAGAATATCCCTAGCCCCTAACGCGGTGCAGGGATCCCCTCTGTAGGCATCTGCCTTAGGTGGCTACTCTTATCCTGATAGTACCGCCCTCCTAGTTTTTTGACTTAAAATGTTCTTCCTGTTAGGAAATGATAGTATCACCCATAGTCTGTAATTAAAATAAAAACAACTCACTGGACAAAATAACACCTCATTCTTTATTACCATTTTGTTTTGGTAATTTTACTGCTCATGAAATCTGGGAATGACAGTTAAAACACCTTCATTTTACAGAGCAGGAAAATTAGTCTCAAGGTCATCCGTTTTGTTGGTAGAATTCTTCTTGTTCTCACTCAGGGGGTCTTAGACCTAGTAACTGTGATAGCAGTTCAAGTTGTCCTAAACAGTTACCAAAGGTGCTTGGCCTTTGGGGTTGAGATCATGGGTATTATGTCTCTCACATGTGAGGCCTGAGTTTGCCATGGTGTGATTGGGCTCAGCACAGTGGACCTGGATGAAGCAAGGTAAATTCACATGCAGGCTTGCAACCTCCAGCCTAGTCATGGGCACTTTCCACCTGCCTGTTAACTTTCTAGGCCTTAGGGCAGTGGTCACTTCTTAGACCAGGCCTTTTCCTTGTCAGCTGAATGCCCAGTACTTTGACCTCATAAATAGAGTAAGCAATAGCCCATCCCTGGGAAGGGCTGGCTGGCTGACCCACCAGTTCAAGGTCCCATTGCATTCTGCATGCTTGTCAGGAAGGGTGAGGCAGGATGGGCTCTAGGCAGCATGAGAAAGCTGCCTGAATGTGGGGGGCTGCAGGAGGCTTTTAGAAGCCATGCTGTGTTTGGTATAAAGCTCTCGTTTCCTTGACGTGGTGACTCTGTGAGCCAGTAGAGCCTGAATCATGTCCGTGTAGTGGGTGGCATTTGTATTTGCAGTTCTAGCTGTTCATGTGCCACCCTCCTGAGTCTGCATTCTGTGGTGGCTTATGTTTTTCAAGAGGTATTCACTGCAAAGCTAAAGTCATAAAACCTTTACTATACTTTGTTTCACTGTAGGTGGGAAACTGTGTACTTATTATGGTATGTACAAATGTAGGGACAGTCCACATCTGCAGATATGACTCCCAAGTGTCCATCCTGCCTTCCTGGTGGAGCAGAGTCTGGCAGGGGAGACAGTGTTTCCCGAGATCCTCTGGCCTGTCTCAGTAAGACCCGTAGCAAACACTCTCATACTGTACTAGGCGAGCTTGAGCTACAGAGCAGGGGTGGAATGGGAGCCATGATTTGGAAGGGTGTTCAGAGATAAGCCTCCAAATCCTAGGTTCTTTAAAAGTGATCATCTCTATAAGAGAGCTACGAAGGAAAGAAATCCTGACCATTTTTGAGAGGACCTTAAAAATATGAGAGATATTGGGATAAAGGAAGTGGTGAGACTACAGCATTGAAGGAGAGGTGTGTTTGAGAAGTTGCCTGCAGCCCAGCATGTTTGGCGCTCCAGGGGGAAAAAGCTGATGAGGAGGCCAGCTGGCCTTCCTCATGGGCTCTGGTCACCACCCACTGCAGGGGGTTGTATTGGTGCTCTCACGGAACCCATGGGCAGCAGTGTAAAGGGACAAAGGGGAGCAGGAGACAGCCCTGTCACCATTTGCCCATCCTGACCCGGTCTCACCATCTCTTAGCTCAACCCTTAGAGCTTTCTCAGAGCACCTGGACCTGTGTGTGCCTACAGCTCTTCCTCCATCTGCTCTTTGATCATTGGATCACCTCTGCTTATTCTAGCACTTGCTCTCTGCATGGCCGTGCCTCTTTCTGTGGTGTTAGCTATCATCTAAGTCAGAGGTTCTTTTTTTTTTTTTTTTGGAGAGGTTTTTGCTATAGGGTGTGTGCTCTCGCCAGACAGAGAGAGACAGAGAGACGGAAAGCGAGAAATCACTCCCTAGGAGGGATGGCCACGCTGCAGTCCCTTCTCCATTTTCGTCTCGGGACCTTGGGTGCACACGCACACGTGCCTGGCATGAATTTAATCTACTGGGTATGGGACTCAAACCATGGTTGACTATATAGCCATTACGCCAACTACTGGTCCCATTCTTTTGCATTTTCATATTATGTTTATTTTTTGCTTTGGTGTTTAGTGATAGTATGCATGTGTGGTATCTGTAGAGAGAGAGAGTGAAGCACCTTTGACAGGTCTCTTCACACTGTGGTCACCTTTCCCCAGCCCTCCAGGTTGTCGGTATTCTGGGCACCCAGTGTGCTTTTAGGCTAACCTGGAGATCTGAACACACAGAGCTCACATGCACCTTTAGCCTTGCAGGATACTTATGTTACCCTGTGCCACAGCAGCTGGGTCCTTTGCTATGTTTTCGCATGAGTGCTGTCAGGCTGCCTGTAGCTTGTTTTATTCACCCAACAGTAGCCTTGAAATTCTTCCCAGGACTGTAGCTGGAGAGGGCTGATAAACAACTATCACTGGACCTCAGACCAAAGGACAGTATTTCCTCTATGGACCCAGAGTTGGTGTCTCTTCTTCCCCTCCTCCCTCTTGACCTGATCAGGTTCTTTCCTCAGCTGCTTGTCCTTTACAACCTCAGCTGCCCTTGAACTTCTCTAGGACTCATCCATGGGGCAGCTAAGAGCACTCTCATTAACATCCACTAGGCATTTAAAAATACCTAAGATTTTGTTTTAACTTTCTCCCTTCCCTGTACAGAAAGATTGTCTCTCAACACCATTACATTGTGGGGAGAGCGGAGCTGGGCATTTTTATGTAGGTCTGTCCTGTCCTAATGGGCCAGGTCCTAGCCTGGAATCCCCAGACTCTTCATACTGAATGAAAGATGAAGCTGCTGCCGTGCTGGGAGGAGGAGGAGTAGTGCCCATAATCCATGTGCTGAGGAGGATAAGCTACCGAACTCAAATAGGTAGGACCTGGGGCCTTCAGTTGGCATAGTGGTTACATTGCTGTACTCTCACATGACCGACTGTGGTTAGAGTCCCAGACCTGGTGGCTTGAAAATCATGCTGGGTGTGTGTGCATTCATGCGTGCCCAAAATCCCAGAAAGACAATGGAGGAGAAGGGATAGCAGCATGACCATCCCCTTGGGGGGTGATTTCTCACTTTCTTTCTCACCTCTCTGCCTATCTCTCCAGTGAGTATTTAAAAAAAATGGACAGTAAGTACCTTTACTCCTGGGAGAAGTCCACCTGAGCCCTCAGATCACTCAGTACCTGCTATGGCTTCCATAGAAGGGACCTAGCTTTGCTGGTGGCCTGAGACTTTGTGGTAGCTCTGCCTGTAGGGATCTGGGGCTGTTTGACCAGTCAGCAGCTTCCCAATGAGTTCCGTGAACTGGGAATGATGGGAGGACCGGCAGGGGTTGAGAAAACTGGAAGAGCCCAGGGAAGGCCTCTTATTTACATCATAGTTGCAGAGACTTCCTAGTCCCAGGAAATGTTCTTTTAAATTTAGACTTGCCTACTTCTAACATTGTGCTGTCAGGACCTATTCTACGTGCTTTTGTATGTATTAAGTATTTAGTCTTTTTTTTTTTTCCTTAAAGAGATTTTTGTTATAAGATGTGTGTACTTTCAGAGAGACAGAGAGAGAGAGAGAGAGAGACAGACAGAAAGGGAGAAGTCACCCCCTGTGGAGATGGCCACACTATGATCCCTTCTTTTCCATCTTCCTCTCAGGATCTTGGGCACACACGCACTTGTGCCTAATGTGTTTATGTCACTGGGTTCAGGACTCGATCACGGTCGACTATGTGCGAGTCCAGTGACATAATCATTATGCCATCTGCTGGTCCTGGTCTTTAGTCTTTATAGGAACACTGAAATAACTACTATTATCTCCATTATACAGATGAGGAAACTGAGGCCCAGCTAAGCGGTTTTTATTTATTTATTTTGCTATAGGGCACATGTGTTGGCTGGAGGGGGGAAAGTAAGAAATCACTCACTGGGGTAATGGTCACACTGTAATTCCTTGTCCCTCATTCTCCTCTTGGGATTTTGGGCATGCATGTACATGCACTTGGTGTGATTTTCAAGCTACAGGGTCTGCTGGCCCTACTAAAAAGTTTGAAAAAACCTATATATATATATATATATATATATACACACACACATAAATACTTTTTTTATTGCCTTAGGGTGTGTGTTATCACAGGGCAGAAAGAGAGACAGAGATAATGAGAGGGAAATTAAAAATTCCCCTGCCCCAGGAGGTTTGACCATGCCACAATCTCTTCTCCTCTATTCTCCTCCCAGGATCTTGGGCATGCATGCATACATGGCTGGTGTGATTTTCAAGGCACCAGGTCTGGGACTCAGACTGTGGTCAGCCATATGGGAGTCCAGCGATGTAACTGTTACACCATCTGGCAGCCCTGCTAAGCAGTTTTTAAAGTAATACTTGATGCAGATATGCAGAAACCTCCTATGTCTACACCAGTCAGAGCTGCAGCAAGTTGGAACCAACAACACTTTGGAGATCGGGTGGGAGGAGGGTTACAATCAGGGATATTACAGTTGATAGAGATTTAGTTGCTGA